ATTGTATTGTTCAACCTCAGGTCCACTCCGAATGCGATGCTTAATGTAAGCCCACATGAAATCCTGACAGGAAGAAAGATGCCCTGTCCTCTAACTGTTATGCCTAGAGATTCAACACCTCTTCTTTTGCAGCATGCTGACATGAGTGAGAATGTCAGATGATTGAACAACGTGGTGATGAGTGTCTCTGAACAGGTTGCCAAAATCCTGCGCAGGGACAAACCTGAGGAACCAACACCAGTTGCAGTGGACAGCTGGGTCTATCGAAAGGTGCATAAACTTCACTGGTCAGAGCCACGTTGGAAAGGACCTTACAAGGTAGCAGAAACTACCACACACTGTGTTAAACTGTGCCTCACTGAGAACAAGCTAAGTAACTGGATCCATAAGACACATTGCTCGCAGCAGAAGATCCAACTGCACAGACAGTGAATGAAATCAGGACTGATGTGAGAACCTCAGTACCTGAGTTGATATACAATCCTGCAGAATCAGAGCCAGTTAGAAGAGGATCTACACTACTGTAATATCGATCAGAGAACAAAAATGTTGACAGGGACAGCAGACAAAATGCCTAGTCTGGCACGTTTAGGCAGTTGTCCTGGTATGGTTCTCTGTGTACAGGGTCTCATTAGCCTAGTTATAGTAGTACCCATATTGTGGTGGGAAACAAGGGCCCACATACACCATGAGAAAAGAGCTAATGTCCTGATTTCACCCAAGTTGTTTTGAATTGGAGTAGAACTTCCACACTTTAATGGTAGATGCATGTGACATTCTTGACTGCTCTGTGTGGCCACAGCTAGAGCAATAAGATGGGTTGATAAATACATTTGTATACCGTTCTAAGTCCATTTTAATGTTCAGAGTCTTAGTAATCTTACTAATCTCACAAATCTTACCAGAGATTTAGTTGTTGGGTTTCAGGAGCAACTGGCAGCCACTTCTCTTATGTTGTATCCGAACAGATTGGCATTAGACTTCATTTTGGCTGAAAAAGAGGGTGTTCGTACTATGATTGGGCAACAGTGTTGTACTTACATTTCTAATAACACTGCTCCTGATGGCTCCATTACTAGGGCCCTGACAGGGTTGAAAATTTATCAGGAGAGATGGCTGACCATTCAGAAATAAAAAATTACATAGATGATTGGTTTGTTAACATTTTTGGCAAGTGGAAAATTTAGTGGTTTCTTTGCTTACATCTTTTGTGGCAGCAGTTACTTTGCTGACCTTGTGTGGATGTGCTGCATCCCCTGCATTAGGTATATTTGTCTAAAGTGTATCACCACTGCCATTGATAATAGATATCCCAATATCTATGGGGAACCATGCCCATGATCTCACTCACTGAACCTGGTGAGTCTGAGATTGAAGAGGACTCCTCGGACGGGGAAGAAGACCGTGACCTTCCTACATATTATTGCTAAGGGCTAACACATATCCACATATGTTCTTGCATGCACGTAGGTAGTGTGGACTCATAGGTGTGTGATTAATTTTGATTATTGAATAAAATTTTGTGATAAATGTGTGATACTGGAAGAAGATCTTTAGTTTCCAGCATAATGGATTCCTCTTGCAAATGTTATGATTAACCAATGATTGTTTTGCTACATGTTGTTTAGACATTTCCACATTTTTGTCTGAAAAATGCTATAATTGCAATGAAGACTCAGCTTTCACATAGAGGCTTACATATAGGATCACTGCAGCGAAGAATCAGCTTACATGCCATTATTTTATGTTATTATTTCAGATTTTGCCCTAGGTACTCAGCTCTGGGCTTTCCTTGGAGGGGGTGGTATGGGGGGGCCTCTCTCCTCCTTGGATGCCTAATCTGGGGACAACAGGGACATTTGATTTAGGCTGACAGAATAAAAATCATGTCAAAAGGGGGAATTTGTTAGATATTAGTTAATGAGTCAGATAATTATTAGACATTGTGTTAGACTTTAATGTGTTAGTAATGCAGTTTAGTAAGATTCAAAGTCTGCTTTGTTTCAAGGTTGACAGATAGAATGTTGATTCTGAAAAGAGTACCTTGACACTGTAGTGGTTTAAGTTACATGTTAATATGGATTATGTAATAGAATATGGATTATGTAATAAAATAGAGTGTTCGTGTGCTCACTTTTAAGTTCATGTGAGCTGGACAATGGGCTTATATAATTTGGCCAAGATGTTTCCTGTTTTTGGGTACATCTCAGGGTGTTGTCTCCTAAAACTGGAGACAAGAAGCTAAGTTTGAAAATTGACGTAACAGCCTAAGAAAGCTGTGGATAAAACAGTGAGGCTGAAGGGTGCAGGAGGAGAATGCTACCATGACAGTGAACCGTGTGCTCTTTTGGACTCAAGCCTGGGTAGGGGAATGGACTCTGACTGACTGTACCCTGTGACCAAGACTGACCGACTCTGTGACAATCTTCTTATTTAATACTGTATCTATTCCATTGCAGGAGGAGTGATTCTGTTCTCTGTTCCCTAACTACCAGATTACCTATTTAACTACTACTCTGTTCAAAATAATTGTAATATTTGTCTGAAATAATTTAGTCGGTATCACATTCTAGCAACGACAAACCTTGGCGTCACTCCTGCAGGTAGGAGCCTAATGTGGGAGAATTTTAAGTTTAATCTCCTATCTTGACTGTCCTCCAAGAATTTGTGTGAAGGGGAACCAGGTGGTGGAAGACTGCTGCGATCACAAACACTCACACTATTACTAGCACTGATGTAAATAACTTGTTTTAAACATGTACAGGATATATTGATGTTGTTGGTTGATGTTGTTTTTACATGTCTGATGTTTATGTGTTTGTGGTGTTGCATGAAACAATAGAGAGAAATACAGCCCATTTAGGTTTGAAACTTATGAGTTGCTAAATAGCAGGTCTGATAGAGTTTAAATTTATGAAGCTGTAATAATGACGTCTGTACTGCTGTGGGTTCTACAGGGTTAGGTTATAGTCTAAAGTGATTAATCAATGAGTTTCGGCTGTGCTTAAATGTTGAAGTATTTTAGGAGCAGGGTGTTGTACTATAGAAGCAGACAGACTGTAAAGTCCTCGCAGCCATTTTAGTTTCAAAATGATTCAGTGTGCTCCTCCATTTAGATGAATAAATTTAAAGTACTCTGCGAGGTGTACGGAGCTCCAGCCATATGGTCCTGACCTGGCCAGTGGGGACCGGCTGTGTGCTCCGGGTGCTGGCTGGCTGAAAAATAGAGATGAAAATCCCACCTGAAAGTGCTTTGTAAAATAAGTGTGGACTTCAATGTGTGTTTAAATATGTGAACATATATATGTTTGGTGTTGTGTAATTGGCTGTGATGTGTATCTGGAGTTAGGGACAGAGGGATGACACAGTTGTGTGTATTGCAATTTCTTGTTGTTAATTTCATGTGTTTTCAGACTGTATACTGTGTTGCTGAGGTGAGTATAAGACTTATTTTATATTTCTGTGAACCCCCCCCCC